GGGGGGTGGGGGGGAGTAAGAGATCAACCAAAGGACTTGTGTGCATGCATATAAGCATAACCAATGGACACAAGACACTGGGGGGCATGGGAGGCTAGGGGAGGGTCAAGGGGAGAAAAAAAAAGGAGACATATATAATACTCTTTGTAATACTTTAAGCAATAAAACAATTAAAAAAAAAAAAAAAGAACCAGGGTTTGAACCCAGGCATCCAGCTCCTGAACCCACACACTTGACCACTGCCCCTGAATAGCACCCACACCCCAACAAGGTGCCCAGAGGGACTATGATAACAAACCTATTGAATTTGTTTTACCCAGTGTTCTCCAGGCTTACTTGCCCATGGAACATTCCTGAGTAGAATACCTCTGCTATTTCAACTTCTATGGCACAGTGGGGGAAACATGGGGTAGTTGCCATGGAGATGGCAGGGCATCGTGGCTAAGAGCATGGGCTTTGGAATCAGACGGGCACAGTGTGAATCCTGATGCTTATTTTACCTACTCTCAGGGTATGTTATGCAACCTCTGAGCCTCCTGCTCTCTAGCGTGAAATAGGAAACAAACATCTACGTTGAGGGTCAGCGCTGGTAGCAGTTATTCAGTAGGATCTCCCATTTCTAAGCAGTGTGTGAGTTTCTTCATCTCTCTGGGCACCTGCTTTCCTTGGCAAAGTGAGAGGGCTGCCTTTAGAGCCCTCCTCGGCTCTGATGGGCCAGAGCCGCTGACCCTCGTGCTCATCCCCTGGGGCAGGACAGGAAATGGCTGAGGCAAGGCCTGTGGATCTGGGATCTGGATGGTGACCAGCCTGGCCACATGACCTGGCACCTCCCCTCCTGAAGTGCCCTCTGGGGTCAGAATAATACCAGGAAGGGAGCCTGTGCTGGAGCCTGGGTTGTGGGCACCAAAGGGAGTTGGGGCAGGGACTGGGGCCACCTGGGCATTTTGACATGAACAACAACAAGTCATTAGCACTCAGCACTGTTTGTTCCAACACTGGGGGCTGGCTGGGTAGCATTCCTGCCCTTCCTCTTTCCCTGGCTCCTCCTCCTCCTCCTCCTCCTCCTCCTCCTCCT